GTATCTAGTCTTCAGAAAGCAGTATTTAATCTTCCAGAGCAGTATCTAGTCTTCAGAAAGCAGTATTTAGTTTTTTAGAAGCAGTATCTAGTCTTCTGCCAACGTTATGTATGTTTTGTTCTTGATACTGACAGCTACTTCTTTCTGGGTGTCTATCATCATCTTTTTGGGAGCCTCTTATTATCTATACGGGTCTTGCACCACCCGGTACCCATATAGGTAGTTTCCATATTGGTGATTTCCTTTCCTGTGCAATAACAAGACAAGTCCATTGGTTTCTTGTTCATATTCTTCGCATTCTTTTATTGAACACATAAGTATTGCCATGAAAAATCATGTTTGGTTTATAATCAATTTTTTGAACAGTAATTTCAGACTTCATGTGGACTTTGAACAATGTAATTCCTATTTTTTGCTGAAGTCTAGTTTATAACTATTACAATTTCAGACTTTTTCTTGCAAATTAACCTTCTGACCAGAGTATTCCCGACTATTCCCTTAAGTTTGGTTTTTCACCAGTATAATTCTTAAATTTTTGTTGAAGTATGGATTATGATTATTCCAGTCTTTTTTAAGTTTATATATGATATAACGCGAAAATCTTCATAAATGAGGAAATGAATGGATTGCTTTTGTAAAATATGTCATGAGTCAAAATCTAAAACGGACTGAAAAATATTTTGTAGACAAAAATTGTTCATAATGAACCAAAATAGCATAATTCATACCTAGTTTGCATCATTATCTAGGATTCCTTAAAAAACTTATTCATCACTACCAACTCATTTTTTCATCTCCTACGTAAATTAGTTTACTTACCAAATGCTGTTAAAAGTGGTACTGAATACCAAGTTTGCCATAAAACCGATTCAGAATTAACAACATCCTTCATCCCAGCAATACTTTTCATAGCCAAACAAGCAGAATAAGTTTTCCCCGATCCGCTTTCCCCCGAAATAACAATCGTTTGATTTGGTTTTCCAATATTTCTCGACAACTTAAACCAAGCCCTCGAAACGATTGCGTCCACGCTGGGCAAATTTTTATTTCCTTTTCTCGGGGGGACATCTTCGTATGGATGCAAAGAGAGCAACGTTTGTCCAGCCCAAGTATAAAATTGTTTATCCAAGTACCGCTGTTTAAGAAAATTGATAACATTCCTTTCGCTTTTAACCTCCAAGTCGACAAGATTTTGGTGGAAATTTCCGATGGAATAAATTTCATTTTCCGTTAAAAATATGTCTTTATCGTTTTCGTTTTCAACGCACAACGCCTCCCATTCCTCAATGCTCAACGTCTCATTGGATTGATTTAATTGATTCGAAACGGAATCGTTTAGGATTGAATGAGTTGACATGATGAAACTGAATGATATGACTTTGAAGTAATAAATAGATTTTTTTTATTTTTTTACACTATATTTTATTTACAAAAAAATATATAACCTTAATATAAGATGTATTTGTATTATACATGTTTAAGAAAGAAAAGTTTTTAAGAAAAGTAATTGATTTAGAAAAAAAATGGAAATAAATAATTTACAATTAATTTCTACGGGATTTTTAAAAAAATGTTTCTTTTTTATCGTTTCGAAGCTGGTGGGGCTTCTGTATGTTGACTGCAACTCTCAACATTTTCGGGCCAATCGCATACATTTTGATCTGGGTTAAAAACTAATTTTAATGGGCATGGCATGTGATGTTTCCGGTCACCTTCGCACATCCAATATCGGGTGCAATCGTTTTTATCGGGATGATAACTTATGTGCCCATCTTCTTCTTCGCAACTTATTTCATTTGCTAAAATTAAAAATTAATTAATTTAATTGTTAAATAATTAAAAGAAATATTACGATCTTTCGTTGTGTATTGCCCAATTGGAGCTGAGCTTTCATATGGCCCATTATATTCTAACTTCACTTTATAACCATCTAATTCTTGTTTCATCGCGTTTATTAAGGGATATTTCCCCCCACCGCATGATCCTCTAAAATCGTCCATATCAACGGACCAAATCATAATTCCTCCAAATCCTTCTTCTTTTAACCAAGCCATCTAACAAAAAAAATTTATTCATAAATAAAGAAGAATTTAGAAGTTAGAATCAAAAAATCATAACAACGATGATTATAGAAAATAAGAAATGATTTATGGTGAATTACATCTTCATTAAATTTGCTTTAAATTGCTTTTTATTTCATAACGATATCTCAATTAGTTTTTGAGATACGTTACGATGAATTACCCGAACATTTATGTTTAAGGTTATGTAAGGTTGCAATCAAAAAATGATAACTCCGAAATTTGAAGATTCGAAGAAATGATCTTTAATATATTAAATAATAAATAAATTTGCTTCAAATTGCTTTTTATTTCATAACGATATCTCAATTAGTTTTTGAGATACGTCTAGATGAATTTCCCGAATATTTATGTTTAAGGTTTTGCAAGGTTGCAATCAAAAAATGATAACTCCGAAATTTGAAGATTCGAAGAATTGATCTTTAATATATTAAATAATAAATAAATTTGCTTCAAATTGCTTTTTAGTTCATGATGATATCTCAATTAGTTTTTGAGATACGATTTTGTTAAATTTATCTTTCATATCTATAACAATCAAACATGCAGAGTTGGAATCAAAAAATCATAACAACGATGATTGTAGAAAATAAGAAATGATTTATGGGGAATTGTATCTTCATTAAATTTGCTTTAAATTGCTTTTTATTCCATAACGATATCTCAATTAGTTTTTGAGATACGTTACGATGAATTACCCGAATATTTATGTTTAAGGTTATGTAAGGTTGCAATCAAAAAATGATAACTCCGAAATTTGATGATTCGAAGAAATGATCTTTAATATATTAAATAATAAATAAATTTGCTTCAAATAGCTTTTTAGTTCATGATGATATCTCAATTAGTTTTTGAGATACGATTTTGTTAAATTTATCTTTCATATCTATAACAATCAAACATGCAGAGTTGGAATCAAAAAATCATAACAACGATGATTATAGAAAATAAGAAATGATTTATGGGGAATTGTATCTTCATTAAATTTGCTTTAAATTGCTTTTTATTTCATAACGATATCTCAATTAGTTTTTGAGATACGTCTAGATGAATTCCCCGAATATTTATGTTTAAAGTTTTGCAAGGTTGCAATCAAAAAATGATAACTCCGAAATTTGAAGATTCGAAGAAATGATCTTTAATATATTAAATACTAAATAAATTTGCTTTAAATTGCCTTTTGGTTCATGATGATATCTCAATTAGTTTTTGAGATACGATTTTGTTAAATTTATCTTTCATATCTATAACAACCAAACATGCAGAGTTGGAATCAAAAAATCATAACAACGATGATTATAGAAAATAAGAAATGATTTATGGGGAATTGTATCTTCATTAAATTTGCTTTAAATTGCTTTTTATTTCATAACGATATCTCAATTCGTTTTTGAGATATGTTAAGATGAATTATCCGAACATTATTTATATTTAAGATTATGTAAAGTTGTAATCAAAACATTATAACTCCGGACTTTGAAAATTCAAAGAAATGATTTTCAGTATGTTAAATATTAAGTAAATTTGCTTTAAATTGCTTTTTATTTTATAACGATATCTCAATTAGTTTTTGAGATATGCCAAGATTAAGTGGATATAAAGATATGCAACTAAAATCACACGTTTAAGGAACACATTAATGAAGTAACAAAACCAAAAGGGGATGTAACTCTTAAGAAAGTTCTAGAATGAGAGCATACAGTGTGTTAATTAATCATTGCAAGTATGCAACCAATATCACAGTTGCAATAGGTAAATCGCGTATACTGTGATATTGGTTGCATACTTGCAATGATGACGGGTACGATAATTAATTAACACACTGTATATGTTTAACAACACTTACTTTTGTTTTTAAACTTCTTTCATCGTCAAATCCAACCCACTGGTTCTCTTTATAAGCAAACGGAACTTGTTGCTCATTATCCCAAACTAAAACCGGCTTCTCCGGGTCGTTTAAGAAGTCGCAAATTTCATAATAACTCATAAACCCGGCTTCGTTCGTGTATTTCCCCGCTGTGCCTCCCCCGGAAGCTGGGGCGCCGATATCGAAGTTGGATATGTTTACCAATTCAAACGATCTTCCGTAAGTAGGCATCCCGATCATTAATTTTTCTTTCGGCGCTCCTTGTTTTACCCATTCCCTAGCTGAATAATCCTTAAAATGAAATCAATTAATATTAATCGAATTTTGAATGAAATTAAGTTTTTATTTACCACTGTGAGTTTTTTTTGATAACTCGTCGCCCCCTCCAACGGGAATAACGGCGAATTGTGCCCGACAGTTCTTTCCCACTGCCCATGAAAATCATAAGTCATCACGTTAATAAAATCAAGATATTTCGAGATTTCTGGGACATCATATCCAGCTGCGATCGCTTCAAAAGAAGCTGGGACAGCCGCCGATAACAACAACCTAGGTTGCCCGCTCGTTTTGGCTTCCCCTTCAAAAGCAGTTCTTAATTCTTTTAATAAGTTAACATAAGCCTCGCGATCATCCGCTCCTCTAGGATACTCCCAATCGACATCTAACCCATTAAACTTGTAATCACGAAGAAACTCAATCGCGTCATAAACGAATTGATTCATTCTAAACATATTATTAGTGAGTTCTTTAAAAGGGGTCGATCCAAAAGCCCATCCACCAATTGCAAGTAAAACTTTGAGATCGGGATTTTTTTCGCGAAGATCCAAAACCCTCTCGTAAGTTTCAGCGTCTTTCTCATCAGCTTCAGCTAATTTGTGCTCCTTTAACGTTGCAAAAGCATACACGACGTGAGTACAAAGACTTGGGTCAACATCTTCGGGGGTAAATCTCCCCGCGGAAGGTCGTTTTTGTGACCATTTTGTTATGTAACATAAAATTTGTGGTTTTCGCACATTTTTCGGCAACTTTAGGGAAGTTTTTTTTGAAATCTTTCTTGACCTTAACAATTCAGATACGCTTATTTTAATGGGCGGGGGTTTTTCGATTTCTTGTTCTTCTTCTTCGTCGTCTTCTTCGATCGTTCCGGCGATTTTGTTCCAATCGACGTCTTTGGCTTCTTTCCCGCGGGAGATTTCGCGTAATTCTTCACGAATCGCTCCTACTAATGGGTATTTAACGTTGCCCCCGCATACCGTTCCGGTGAAATCGTCTTGATCTAAACTCCAAACCATCGCGCCACCAAATCCGTTGTCTTTAATCCATTTCATTTTTAATCTAATCGCTTTTTCGTCGTCGAAGCCAACCCATTGATCGCCTTGGACTGCGTAAGGTACTTTCATTTCTTCGTCCCAAACGTAAGTTGCTCCGTTTAGTAACATCTCGCAAACCTCGTAGTAAGCTAAAAATCCACTTTCTTTGGTGTAGGTTCCTTCTTTTCCACCACCACTCGCTGGGCTATTTACGCCAAATTTTTTGCTGTTTGATAAAGTAAATGTTCTTCCATATGTTGGCATCCCAATGATTAATTTTTCTTTCGGGGCTCCTAATTTGACCCATAAATTAGCAGCGTGATCGACGGATAATTGCTTTCTCCATTCGCTGTCGGAACTCGGTGCGTATAACGGTGCGTTATGCCCAGTTTCTCTTTCCCATTTTCCGTGGAAATCGTACGCCATTACATTGATAAAATCGAGATAAGAAGAAACGGCCGGGACATCATATCCGCCTTTAATGTTATCAGGACCAACTGGAACCGCCGCTGAAAGTAATAATCGTTGCTTCTTATTCTCTTGTGATTCGGCTTCAAAAGCTTCCCTTAACTCCTTCAACAACAAAACATAATTTTTTTTATCATCTTGTCCTTTTGGATACTCCCAATCGATGTCTAAACCATCAAAACCACGATTTCTTAAAAACGGAATTGCGCTATAAATGAAAGTTTGACGCGCGTATCGAGTTGAACTCATATCTTTAAACTTTTGGGTTCCAAATGACCAACCACCTAACAAAAAAATAAAATAAATTAAAACATTTCTTTTCGTTTTATTTTCTATTACTAAATAGTAAAAGAGAGAATATAAACTAACCGAGTGCCAATAAAGTCTTAAGCTTCGGGTTGGCTTTCTTTATCTTCTCGATCCTTTCGTATAATCCGATCTTGCCATCTTTGGTTTCGTCGTTACTTTCGTACGAGGACAATTTCCCTTTTTTCAGCCAACCAAATGCGAAAATAACATGCGTACATAGATCTGGAATGATATCTTCTGGCGTGAATTTTCCAACTTTTGGGCGATATTGTGACCAATTCGTGTAATAACATACAACCTAAAATTTGTTAAAATGCATTAATAATAATTATGTATTAATAAATTTTGCAAGATATAGTCTGATTCGATATGTTGGTTTATAAGCTTGGATGAGGAGGAATTAGGCTGGGTTTTTGGTTATGGGTTAGGTTATGTGTATTAAAAATTGATTATAGAATCTTTGATGCTTATGTCAGAAATCTAATACTACTGTTAGCAGTTCAACAGTTTTTTGAAAGCTGCACACTGCTGACAGAAAATTAGACACTGATAATGGAGGGCTAAATACTTCTTGTAAAAGTCTACTAACTCCACATTACACGTCATTGCTTGCAAAAGATAGTATACTGCGGCGCAAGAGTGATTACTGCCAATAAAAGATTAAATACTGCTAATACAAACCCAAACATTGCTGTCAGAAGTACAATACTGCTGTCAAAAAGCTAGAAACTGCGAAACTAAGGTTGCTTTTAAATGCGGATGGGTTGGATTTAATTTGGTGTGACACTGTAAATGAGCTGAATATGGTTTGGGATAGACTTGCATAATATGGCGTCCTTGGCATTCATGTTTCATATGTTAGCGATCTTGTGCAAGCAAGAGCATTGATAAAAAATGCATGATTGGACAAATTAGAATTGGCTTGATTTCCGTAATTTAGATTAGATCTGGTGTGGGTGTGAGAGTAGAATTTAGCTTACCTTCAGTATGAATGAGCTGAACTTGACTTATGAGATTTGGGTTTAATCTAATTTGGCAAAAAATCGTAACACCGAAATTTGTAAAGTCGAAGAAATGATCTTGTACATAATAAAAGTCAATTAAATTTGCTTTAAAATGCTTTTTATCTCAAATTGATATCTCACTTAATTTCTGAGATACGACTCGTTAGACATAGATGTCTTAAAAATTTCGATGTTTTTCGAAATTTGTAAAGTCGAAGAAATGATCTTGGGTTGGGTTGGAAATGGATTGTTTTTGAAACGTTTGTGAGTGTAGATGAACTGAATTTGGTTAAGGGTAATTTATATTTACCTTATATCCATCTTTATCCTTTTTAGTTCCTTTAGTAGCTGATATAGCATTATCTGACGCTATTATTTTATTAGGTCTTTTCCTTGCTCTAAAAACGCTCACACTCGCTGCCGCATTTTGATCCTTAGTTTTTGATACAGTTCCTGTCCTCCTGTTAGGTCTTCGTCTCCCTCTTGTAACTAACAAAAATCGTTACGTTAGATATCAAAATGTTTCATATCATAAGCTATACCTTGTGAATCTGTAACTTCAACAATAACCAATATAATTAAGATTAGGACTGCTAAATGACGCATTTTGAACCACTTTGGAGCAACCTGAAGATAAAAAAAGCACGTAATGTTATTCAAAGAATCCTTTTTTATATATTTTTTTTTAAATAACCATGAAATTGAAGTCGAAGGTTATTAAGATACATGATACATTTCACTTTTTTTTCCTCTTAACTTTAAAAGTATTTTACGGAGCACATACTTGGTAAATATCAAGGTTGTGATTGTTCAGAACAGGAAATCAAGTTTAAGTTCCTGTTCTTATTAAGGATGTTGCATTCACTAAATTTTCAATAAAAAAGCAATTAAATATATTCTTTCTAGAAAAGCTTTCACACTTTATTTATTTATTTCCATATTTTCACACGTAATAACATATTTAGTTACAATACAATGAATCGTTTAGATTTGAAAGGTTTGTGTGAAACAGGGCGGGGAATGTATAATAAAAGAATGTGAAAAAGAGAGATTGTGGAATGTGCTAAATAGAATTATAGATATCTTTTAAATCTTGGTTTAAATTGACTTAGAAATAAATTGAATGATGTAGCCAATAATAACAACCTATGGAGTCATTTTACTTTATATAGTCAGAAAAAAATGTTAATTGCACAACTTTAACCGTTCGCAATGACCTTATGTAATAGGTAAACCAACGGTTCGAAGACTTAATGATAAAAAACAACAATGAATTATTGCTAAAGAATTTCTTGGACAGATCTACTTGCATAAAGATGTTGCATCATAATCTTTGCGTTCTATTCTTTTTTTGATAAATATAAAATGAATTCGAGACGCAAAAATTTTTGAATTACAATTTAGTAAAATTTAAAGATTTCCGTTTTAAATGTTAAACCGATTAATTTAATAAATATTCATAAAGCGATATAACTGTTGAGAAAAGTCAAGTGAGAAATAGTCGAAGCAGAAAATCTATTAAGTTGACTTTTCAACTTACTTTCAAGGATTCGAACCCGTTTTATTTATTTTTTTCTTTCAATTGTATTCATAAATCAAGAAAAATAAACATTTACATAATGGATATTACGCTCAACACTCAACAAATCAAACTTTTAATTATTACCTTTAATTTAGTGTCAAAACCGTATTTATATATTCAGATTTTTTAACGAAATTTAAGAAGTACTAATAAAGTTTTATACATTAATTTAAATAGAATACTTTAAGCTTTAATTTGATATAAAAACCATCTCTCCAACTTCAAATTTAACCTCAAAGCGATTTTTTAAAGTTGACAATTATTTTTATTTGATTTAGGTTATGTCAAAAATGCAGCATTTTAGTAAAAATTATTTTTGAACCAAATTTATTAATACGTAATAAAGTGTTATACATCAATTTAAAGAGGATACTTTAAGCTTTAATTTGATATAAAAACCATCTCTTCAACTTCAAATTTAACCTCAACGCGATTTTTTAAAGTTGACAATTATTTTTATTTGATTTAGGTTATGTCAAAAATGCAGCATTTTAGTAAAAATTATTTTTGAACCAAATTTATTAATACGTAATAAAGTGTTATACATCAATTTAAAGAGGATACTTTAAGCTTTAATTTGATATAAAAACCATCTTTTCATCTTCAAATTTAACCTCAACGCGATTTTTTAAAGTTGACAATTATTTTTATTTAATTTAGGTTGTGTCAAAAATACAACATTTTCCTAAAAATTATTTTTGAACCAAATTTATAAAGTGTCATACATCGATTTAAAGAGAATACTTTAAGCTTTAATTTGATATAAAAACCATCTCTCCATCTTGAAATTTTAGCTCAGCACGTGATCAGAAACTTCATTCAAAGCCAAAGCCGAGGCATAACAATCTAGAGACTTAAAGAAGATCTCAATTTAGGCAGTACCTCATTGATGATAGTCTTAGGAAAGAGCAGATGGGACTGAATTCAGAACTTCAACATTAGAGATCAATTCGAGGTCCAGATAACAAACTGCCGAAAATACCCGGAACCAGAGCACCAAAGAGATGGAGTGGCAGCTAATAGTCAACTTATTAGGAGATATTTCAAAGGCAGACCTTGTTAGGAACAACAGACCTAACAGTCTGGAGAGAAGGAAGGAGATGTAAGGTATCGTGCCAAAAATATATAACAGGTTTTGCAGAAGTAGCAATCCTGCCTAATTCTAAACCGGTCATCATTTACGTAATTATTCAGCTATTCTTAGAACTGCGTTTGATTGATAATCCCACCATCTTTGGAAAAGATTTAGGAACTTGGGTTGAGTTAGAAATTGAGAGAGCAAGTAGTTCTTGGCTTAATTCTGTATATCTCAGTGGAAACGAACAACCCGTTTGTAGTAATCGCTTTAAAGCGGGTTTTGGATTTATTACCATTTCCGCAATTGTATTCCGATCGATTTTAAACCCAAGATAACACAAAACCCGTCAGCGGCAACGACGACAAACAAAGAGATTGTAAGTAAACGTACGAGGTCGCACATATTACATGTCCGTTCACTTTCACTTTTATTGGACGTTATGGCTACACCACTTGAAAAAATTAAAAATTTCCAAACAAATTTTTCTAATTAAAATTATATCAATGAATTCCTATTTCAAAGATAAATCTCCACTTAATCCCTTAAGAATGGTAATTAACCACTTATTTTAAAGTTTTAAGAGCTTTTCTCATCAAATACAAATTCGACCTCGAATTCGCCACAAAAAAGATTCTATTTGGTACAATGGCCTTAACTGAGGTCGTTTTGTGCACGATTAAGTTATAAAAACGTATTGGTTTAATAATAATGATTAAGTGATTATACAAAAAAATTCAATTTTTATAGGCGAAAGAGAAATTAGGACGAAGAAAACGTTCTACATTTACAAAAATAGAATTTTAAATCGAACTAAATCGGTTAAAACTTTCGAGACTTGGAAATTTATTTATTTTTCGTTGGAAATAAAAATTTCGCGAGGCTATTGACTCGATTTTGTAATCGTTTTGAAAGCAACCGGTTTCGCACCCAAAAAGGTTTACTTAAAATTTAAATCTATATATTTTTTTGAATTATTATGAAATTTTAACGCTATAATTTAATAATTGTCACTTTTTACGTTTAATTGACTTCGAAACTTTCTAAGATTCGTTTTGATATAATCGTGACGAATTTTTTTAATTTCCCACTGAATAGTATAGCTGTCACGATTGAAACGTCGCAAAATCGGGATAAAAACGGTTTTAAATCGTTCGCATTTTGAGTTAATGTTGATATTGATTTGACACGAATAAAACCGACGAAATAGATCGTGCGACCGCGACAACTTTCACTAAATGCTCGAAGTGAAACCGCAACCGAACCAAACGCATTTTCTAATCACGATTTTATTATCATTAAATGTTAATGCAACAACAAAAATTTGAGGGGAAATCTAATTTGGTTTATTACCATTTTGTGGTCCAAAATGTTTTATTAATCACTTTTTTCACTTCTCACTTATTCAAAAACTGAAAAATTTAATTGATTAAAACGTTATTTTTTTTTAATGTATCTTGTGTGCGTTCGCGGACACTTCGCCGTCAGATTTCAACTGCCGTGGCGCAGAATTTCGTGGAGGAAAACGCAACCCCCCCAAAAACCCGCAACAAAACCCAACTTTACCATTATTATCTTTATCGCGGTTCGTTTCATTTCTTCGCCGGTTTCCTTTCTCGCTCATTTGGCCTCTTTGGCCACTACTTTGGAAAGCGACTCGCCATCCCACTCCTTCCTTGAACATACCATTAAAACCACTGCATACATATATGTTGTACTTCTTTTAAAAGTCGCGTTAATTCTTCATTTATTGAGGGATATAATCAAGTTGGAACTAAAATTTATTAAAATTAAATTAAAAAAACTTCATTGTTGGTTGTGGTTAAAAGGAAAATGTACCGTTATTTGTTAATTAGCATTCAAGTCTTGGTACAAAGACAATTCTTTACTTCAAATGAACCTTGAGGAATTGAATTACAAAAAAATTCTTAATACAATATCTAAAACAATTAAATAAATAAATTAAGGTTAAACCAAGTAATTCTTTGTTTCTATTTCTTTGGTATTTCAAAACTTGACGACCTAGTTAGATGCAACAACTATAAATCGCGAGTCAGGATGTGAATTAACGGTTTTATTCGATCGTTGACGAGGATGGTTGCACATACTTTAAGAAGCTTTACAAAACCATTCGAGAACTAGCTTACTAGAATTACGTAACGAGAAGATCGGTTTAGATTGGTGTATGTATGTAAATGATGGTCGTAAATTTGATCTTTATAGGCTTTCGAAGGTTAACAAATATATATTAACCCTGAATTTAGAAAAATAACAAAAAACATGCATTTACTCATGATTTTATATAGAATTTAAGTCTTGTTTCGGCCCTTGGTCATCATCAAAAATTGTTATTAAAGTAAAAAATTGAAGTGATAATCACATTAATAAAACCAAAAATCTTGGTAATTTCTTTTAATCTTAACCCAAGATTAATTAAAGCAAAAATTATTTTAGAAAAGAATTTCAAGTCGATGAAAACTATTTACTTACTGAGTTATAACTAAAAAGGTTCGATTCGTAAAGAATAAACATAATAAAACACTTAATAATTAAATAATTAATAATAAATGAATTAAAACTTGACAAGAAACCGTT